ACCTGCATAAATACCCGCGTATTTACGCAGATCCTATGCTAGTATATATGTAATACTTTTGGTTTTGAATTCGTAATTTCATATTAACCCTAGCCGCCTCATAACTTTTTTTTTGAAAAATCAATAATTATTTATCATTTATAAAATTCATGATTGATTATTAAAAAAATATTTAATAATTTTTATAGAAAAAAGGAAATAAATACGAAATTAAAATATGATTTTTTTGGCAATAATATTGTATACATGTTTAGATATTGTATCATATTTGTATCATATGAATATATATTTTTTTCACAAGAAAACAAAAAAAAATATCAGAGATTCAAAATCATTCGTATGTAAAATTACAATTACATAGACAAAACAAATTCAATTTCATATCATTGCGTTTTAATATTGCCAAAGGTTTTCAAATTCAATTAAAAATCCAATTAAACATTTTGGTATTTTAGTTAGTTTTTTTTTAATTACCTTTTAATATCAACTCAAACAATATTTAATAATTTTTATGCAAATAAAGAAACAAATAAAAAATTTAGTTAGGGAAAATTTTGCAACATGCATATTTTAACATATATATGTTTAGATATTGTATCATATTTGTATTGTAAAATTGCTTTCCAAGTTGCAATTTCCTAGATACATACATACCAAAATAAATTCCTAACATATCTTTCATGATTAAATTTTGTATTTATTTCCCCAAAACAAAAAAAATCAATTAGTAGTCCTACATAATGTTTCTTTAAAAATGAAGTTCATTGTTTGGTCAAAACTTATTTTTTTTGCTTAGAGTTTCATGCTCCTTATTTTTGTTCACTTCCCAAAAGAGCCGTAAGCCACATAGTCTTTCTTCTTTTATTTATCTATTAATTTCAAGCCTATTGTAACATGTAAGCAACGATGCTTTAAACAAAATCAACTGTTTTAATATCCATTAATTTCAAGCCTATTGTAACATGTAATCAGATAAAATATATTTGTAACTAGAGAAAATATGGACATTGATAATCGAGTATTAACCACGGAATCTAACCTTTTTAAATCTTTCAGTGAATCCGAAACTATTATCAATTCCCCC